CCATGAACCGAGCCAGTGCATTTCTTTCCACAAAAATAATCCCAAAATGTCACGAGCAATTTTCTGCAACAGAACCTGAGTGAAAGCAAGAAGTCTCTAAAACTTGCTGAACAATTCATCACTTCTGCCATCTCACATTACACAGCCTGGAATGCCATATACTTTACAGTTTGTAGAATATGGTAGATCAGCAGATGTATAAACCAGATTCAGTCTTTCTTGGGTCAAAATTTGAACAGCATCTACTGCTATTTGGTGCCAAACCCAAGAGGGTTTTTCAAAGTTTACTCAGAGAAAAGGAACTTTTAGAACTTCAACTTGAAATATAAAAGAAGTGCTGTTATTGTAGGAGTGGAATTGGTATGAGACCTCAAATATACATTTTAAAGTCAAAATGTTCTTATATGTCACTTCCCACATTTCCCTTCTTACTTTCAAAAGAATGGATATAGTTGAATATGCACACAAAATTGAAAAAATGAAGTTTCTCCTATTTCTTCTATCTGTCAGTCTATTTAACACTCATCAGATTTTCTTTATCACTAAGTGAAATTTCATTTGAAAAAGTGGGATTAGAAGAATGGCTAGCAGATGGGAAATAGAGACACCCTTGGGATCATAATGTAATCCATGTCACATTCTCTTATTACATTCTCATCCCACTGAAAAAATAATATCTTACATATTGCATCAAATTATTTAATATAAGAATTTAATGTCACTTTCTTTGGAGCTATGCCTCTCATTACTGCAGCAAATGGACCTTTTCTTTGGTTAAGACTAAACTTTTCTTTTTCCTAATTTGTAATGAAATTCAAATGTCTAATGAGTTCAATATGACCTGTCAACTTGAATTATCTGTTTGTCTTTCTGTTTACCATATCTATCTGTCTACAGTTTTTATTTTCCTCTGTGAAGTTTAGTTATTGAATCCCATGTTTCCTTCTGGAAGGAATTTCTAACAGATGATTATTCCTGTTGATATGTTGATGATTTGGTAATTTATGGCTTGTAAATTTAAGAAATCTGTAGAAATCTCTGGGAAAGAGAGCAGACCATGAGAGAAGAGAAACAGGAGGTTCTAATACCTTTTGCAGTAAAGGACTGTGATTTCATTAAAATGCATTTTTAATCTTACATATTAACTACAACAATGCCTCTGGATAACTTATTGTTACATCTTTTAAATCTGTAATGAAGTCTAGCATGAACCTGTACAACGGTGACAAAGCAAGCAGTTTATACAAACACATCCAGAGCCCAGAATGGGTCAGGCTGGAAGGGAGCACAGCGGCTCCTCTGGCCCAACCTCGCTGCTCAGCCGGGTCAGGGCTCGCCCTGCCACATCCGCTCATGCAAAGCTGCGTTCTGCCTTCTGCCCTCACAAGGGCTTTGCATCGGATTTGATAGCAGGATTGCATAAAAAAGACAAAATAATTTAGTCCATGGAATTAGAAGTCATTAATTCAATTTAAAGACTGAAAAAATCAGTAAGTTATCCAGGCTGAGTTCATCGGTTTACAAATGTTCTTTCCATATGCTTTCTAAAGATTTGTGCATGCTGATTTATAATAAATTAATATCTTCAACTGGAAAATATTTCACAGAGTTAAAATCCAGTCTGATTGAATGCACACACAAATACAGAAATAGAACAAGAACAATCTCGATTGAAAAGTAAATTAGTAAATACAGAATAAATTTTGTATAGAAATATTGGTATAGGTATTTTGATATAAATGCAACAGTAAGTACTGCTGTTCATTTAACAGCTGAAGGTGAAACTTCAATTAAAGACTATGAAGACATTCCTGTTTCTTAGAAGTCTCTTTACAATAATATTATAAAGCAGAAATTATAACTCAATTTAAAATCTAAAAAATTCCCCGTGGACTTTCACAACTAAATGAGCCTATTATCTAGTAAGTTTAACCAGTGATAACAGTCTACAAACTACTTTTTTTTCTAAAGTTTCTATGTATGGGTCTCATCTAAAACAAAAATAAGGTTCTTTATTATGCAAAATGAATCCTGTATAGTTTATGATCCTCTGGGGACTTCATTGGCTGAAAAGCAAAATGAAATGTAAGCTCAAATTTGATGTTTGTTATTTCTCCTCTTTAGTTAGTGAAGTTTGTATCAATAATTTTTATGCCTACGTTCTAGCTCCTTTATAGTTACAATTCCATAGCAAGGCTCTCTGTAGTATTAAAGTCACTTGGTGTAAAACTCAAAACAACATACATAATCATACACTGGTTTTAATTTCTGACCTAAATGTTTAATAATCATGTTATTACACACTGAGTTTAGGAGGCAACATGTTGTGCTGTTTCCTGGCGCGGCTGCTAGCTGGGGTTAAACTACGACAATGTATAAACAAATATATAGTTGTAACAAAGCACGACAATGTATAAACACATATAGAGATGTAACAAAGCAGAGTCTACGTATTGGGATCATAATGTATTTTGTACAGAGTTAAAAAGTACACACATTTTCGGTTTCAAGGGCTGAAACTATATCTTTCACCAAAATTCAGCTGTTTTCATACTGGAAATGTATTTAATCTGGAAACTTTCTGACATTAGAAAAAGAACAACTGTAGTTTCTCATTATTTTTGCTGCCAGAATCTATGCTTGGTTGCTCAACTAAAGACCTTATACTGCTAATTACTACCACATGCCCATATCCCAAGCAAAGGAAAACTTATTGGTTCTGACAATCCATTCTCTCAACACTGAATTCCAAATGAAAACTTCAATTTTGGCCAAACATAACATTTCATCAATCTTGTTCTACTGACTGCAAAAGCAACATCAAACAAGGGGTCCTAATGGCTTTTTACTGTGCAGTTCTCAAGCTTAGATTCTCTGATGAAAGACCCACATGAGCAAAGGACATTTTTAAACTACTTAGTAATTAATAATTGAACCAGAAAACAATGCATAAAGTAAACTGAACAGTTTTTATGCCGATGACAGAGATGAGTTTCAAGCAACAAATTATATGAGCATTAGAGATCAGCAGAGAAAGCACTGACAGAGTGAGATAAAAACAAACAGACAGTGCATACAAAGAAAGACCAAAACAAAAAGTGAAAAAATAAAATTAAGCGCGCCCCAAAGCTAGCAGAAGCCCGTAATCTGAAGCTGAGCTTTTCAGGATGTGGGGTTCTGACTGAAGATCAGGTCCAAATTTAGAGACATCTGAGCAATGCTGGGTACTAGTGACAATGTAGAAGGGGAGGAACAAACCCTGTGTGGAAAACAGGTTTTTAACCACATTCCCCTCTGCTATAACTCCTTTAGAGCTTTGAAAACAGAGGAATATGTTCCGAGTTTGAAAAACTTCTCCTTGAGAAAACAAGTATGAATATAAATATGAAACTGTTCTGGCCTCTGTGACAAATAAATATTTTGGGAAATTAACAATACTACTCATTCCCAGAAATAAATCAAGGCATTTAGTTTGTCTAGGTAAGTGATGAAAGTTTCCAACATCAGTGTTCACAGTTTACCTAAGACATTTGAGGGTATCTCAATAAATGCACATATTGAAGTTTACTATCTAATTGCTTGAGTATTATTGAACAAAGAATAGTATAGTTACAGCTAATTTTAAAACTTTGATTTATCTAAACAGTGATACAAAAAAGTGCTCTAGAATTAGCTCTCTGGGACATTTACAGTCTTTATGCTATACAGAGAGGAGCAACAAATCCATAATCCACTTCAACAATATGTTGCATGGGTGATGATTTGAAAGGAACAAAGTAAAAAATATCTTCCTTAAAGTAGGAAGGACAATTCATTAGATAAATTTCTTGCAGTACTTTATCATATGAAAAGGACTCTCTGTATGACTAGGCTTTTGGGGCAAATATACTCTACCAGTGGCTGTCACAATGGTACGTAATGAAATGAAGGATGGCAACAATAAAGGTGATATTGTGCTGTATCTCTCTATATGGCCAAGGACAGCTAGCTCAGTAAAGGCTTTATCTCAGCATGTCCCAGAGCTGGGAATGCCAGAAAGAGCTAGCTTTAACTTGGTCAAAAAAACAAGCAGGCTTTCAATAGAAATGTAATGAGGTAATGTGGTCCAATAAAATTTAACCTTTGCCACCAGGTAAAAATAGTAGGTTTGGTTTTTTTACCATACTGTTTTGATATTAAGGTTACTGCCTGCTCTTCTTCAGATATGCTTAATGTGATACAGGGAAGAGAATTGCTTTAAAATCCCTGGTCACAGATTCTAAACTCCTGAGAGCTTGCAATACCCATGGAAGGTCAGAAAAAGTTGTATGAGATCTGAATCTGCTGGTTGAACATGGAGAAACAAGGCTCTTAGACTTCTTACATAGTCAGTCCAACCAAACAAACTGGTAAATATTATCTCCCATTTTACATCCAGTAAAACAAGGTTTTCTTAAGAACCGAGTTGTCTGAAAATCATGCCAATTATCATGGTCACTTAGTTAAGAGACAAACCACACGATATTCTGATGCCCAAAATGGTGAAGTGACAATTCACCCTTGCTGCAGAAGTTAACTGCATGTGTAATAGCAGTACTTTTTATAAGCTGTGTCAGTGTACTCTGAGTGGAATCCAGGTTCTCTTGAAGAAGGGACAAAATGTTGTGACTTGTACCATAGCACAGCCCAGGTCTCTAATTACAGTGTGATAACTCTCCAGTGGTAGCATCTGATGTCAAAGAACACAGCCTTGCAAGCTGTGAGTCAGCTGTTACCACCTTCAGGGGCTCTTTAGAGTCCCACAACCACACCTGGTCTTTTTGGACTTACTTTCTGCCTCGGGTTGAGTTAAAAGTTCCGCCGTATTTCTTCCGATTAAGGATGAGAGCAGCAATTTCTGGCACGTAGCGAGCAAACATTGCCTACATGCATGAAACAAAAACACAAAAAAAAAAAAAGAAAATGGCATGCAGAGAGTGTTCTACTGCAGCAGAGGCAGCAGAGCCTCTTGGGATACTTACTTTCTTCCACTAACCGCACTATAGGAACCACCATATTTCTTGCGGTTTCCTATTAACTCTATGATTTCAGGGACGTAGCTGGCAAACATGGCCTAAGAAGAAGATAGGAGACAGAAGAAAAGACTAAAAAGAGAGGCCAAAGAAAGGGGGATGATGAATATTTTCAGAAGATATATATTTTTAAGATCTGAAAATGCAAAAGAAGTAGATCTATGCAGTTGTTTAAAAATAAAATTTTAAAAAAATGAAAAATTTCTTATCAAACAAAACAAGAAGGCTCAATGTAAAAGTTGATCTTGGAGAAGGTACACACCTTATAAATAAAGAAAATGGTCAAAAGAGGAAAAATGGACATGTAAAACAAAACAAGAACAAAATTACTTCAAACTCATATCTAGTCACAAAAAACAGTTTTGTCTATTTGTTCCTGAAGAGGGGAGGGGAAAAAAACCTATCCAAGCCCCACTGTAAAAAAACCAAAGCCAAGTATTATCATTACTGTCACATTTCTGTTGTAAAATACAGATTTTTCCCCCCCATTCTAAGAATTTAAAAGAAGAAAAAAAAAGATTAAATCGGGGGTTATGTCGCCATCAAGAAAAAAAAATCACCCCCCCGCCCCCCAAAAAAACTTTTCCAAAAGTTCTTGGGTTTAGAAGGATTGGAAAAACATGTGATAGAAAAAAGGTTTTGAGGAGAAAATAAAAATTATTCTGCCATGTTTTGTCCAACAAACAGCTTCCTTGTGGCTGGATACTTCGAAGAGCTACTGCCATTTGACATGATCTTTGTCTTCACATGTCAATAAACAGAGATGAGAATGCATATATGTAACGCTCATACATGTCTGTGTGTGTCCAATATATGGCATTCATAACCTTGGTTATATACACAGCACCTCTGTGAGATGTATGTATATGTGAAACCAATGGACGAGGGTAAGGTAACAACATACAAATGTGTGCATGGGCACAATATACATTACAAGTCACCCACATAGCATTCACCTTGTGCAGGGTAAATGCTAAAATAAACTTGGCTAGTTTAGAGAACATTGCAACAGGTGTAATAATATTACTAGCGCTGACAAATAATGGAAAAATTGGCAAGACAAATAGTAACTTGGGTGCTATTTACATACAGGACAAAGAACGTGAGAAATTGGTGTTCTAAAAGGATACGTGATAAAATGTGAGCTAAAATTGTACTACATGACATGAAAGGATGCTTGAAATTAAAGGGAGTGTGGTTTGCCATCATCTGGATCAGGCAAGCTGCTCTTTAAGGCAGTCCAAAGCCACAGTGTTTGTTGGAATTCTGGGAAGGAACACAGAAGGGAGGGTAGGACCTCTGAAACCGCAAAGTGCCTTTAAATATCAATAGCAACCTCCAGAAATGCTCTACAGCCAGTCACTAAGAAGTAGAGGACTACAAATAACATTCTATGTTGAAATATTAAGGCACTTCATGTATTCACATGCATTAATCATTTAAATGGATTTGAAAAATTCTAATTCCGGACTAATTCTGGACTAATTTGACAAGCTCTACCAAAATATTTATCTACAGGAAAAATGCATATTAAACATATTTTAATGTTTTATAATTAATTTTAGTTTAATAATCCAGATATTATTGTTCCCTTAATTACAACATTGAGATATAGAGGATCAAGTTTTAAGGTAACTGGAGTACTAAAAAGAACATAAAGAAGAATTTTTACCAATCCCCCAAGGATGAAGAAGACCATGAAAAGGCGACCAAGGGTTGTTTTTGCATAAACATCTCCATAGCCAACGGTGGACATTGTAACCATCAGCAAATAAACACATTCCCAGTATGTTAGCGGTTGATTATTTTGGAAATTTTCCCATGGATCCCCTGAGTTCTCCACCTACAATGTACAAGAAAACATATAATGAATAATATTAATTATAACTGACTCTAATTAACCTCAAATTAACTCTACCCATATATGCATGTGTCTTTGTGTGTATATAGACATATACCTTGGCATATAATACAAACTCTGAATGCTTTCCTGTGATTTATTTTCATCAAATACAGAACCTGACCCTGCGCCAAACAGAGCACTGCAGTTCTTGTGCCAGTATATACAGCCTTGCTACTCAGATCATTTATGGGAAGTATCTTTTCCAGGCACCACTAAATAATGTAACTTACTCATGCAGTTTGGTAAGTTCATTTATAAAAATGTGTTCAGAATATTTTCAGAGTAAATCTTAGTTTTAATGCAATTATACTCCTCAATGTTTTTGTTTTAAAAGATTATGTTTCCATTAAAGGCATTACTGGCACCTTTAGTGGAATGCTACTACTTTTTCAAAAAGCCAGTCACCGTAAAGACAAAATTATAGATTTGTCAGTGGGAAAGGAGTGTGCCATCTAAAATTTGCTCCAGAGTAAAAAGTTGAAGTTTGAGTACTCCTTCAGTACAATAGAAAAGCTTTTGTAGAAAAAAAAAGGAAAAAAATTCTAAATCCTAGAAAACAGCATTCCCTTGGTCTTGATGTGTTATTTAAGAAGTGTTGCGCTCTGTTTGGTAAAAACTAGGAAAAAAAGGTATTGTTTTTAGATCGAAACTCTACATTAGCCCAGAGGAGTGTAAAAATACGACTCTACGTGAATGAGAAATAAACCATAAATTAAAACACTCAAAACCTCTGTGCATCTTCCCAAGGGCGAACATGAGACGACTGACACCGCAAGAAGAGGAGGAGCTGGAACGCGCTCCTGCCCGGCTGGAAGCAGCTTTGGTGCGGAGCCAGCCGGGGGAGCCGCTCCGGCCGCGCCCGGCTCGCTCGGGCGTTCCCGGGCGGACACCGCCCCCTGCTGCCCGCCCGCGCCGCTGCGGCCGCCGGGGCACGGCCGGACTGAGCCCCAGCCCGCCTGCTCGGGGACACGGGCGGGCCTCAGTGCGGGCAGCTGGCACGGCTCCTTATTGCGGGCAGCTGGCACGGCTCCTTATTGCGGGGAGCTGGCACGGCTCCTTATTGCGGGGAGCTGGCATGGCCCTTATCGCGGGGAGCTGGCATGGCTCCTTATTGCGGGGAGCTGGCATGGCCCTTATCGCGGGCAGCTGGCATGGCTCCTTATTGCGGGGAGCTGGCATGGCCCTTATCGCGGGGAGCTGGCATGGCTCCTTATTGCGGGGAGCTGGCATGGCCCTTATCGCGGGCAGCTGGCATGGCTCCTTATTGCGGGGAGCTGGCATGGCCCTTATCGCGGGGAGCTGGCATGGCTCCTTATTGCGGGGAGCTGGCATGCCTCCTTATCGCGGGGAGCTGGCATGCCTCCTTATCACGGGGAGCTGGGATTCCTCCTTATTGCACTCTACCGACGGGGTAGGGCACTACCGAGAGCAGCACTAAAGCAGCTTGGAGCCCGCGGTCCGGCAGAAAAAGTGAACCGAGTTCTTGCAAATGCACTCACCAAATGTATGAACCCAGCTGCTGTCAGCCACGTGCTGATAAATATAGAGCACAGATTCACTAGCTTGATGGAATTACTGGAAATAAACAGAGCAAATAGGAGCTTAGACTAGAATTTGTCACATATTTTTTTATACATACCTGTATACAACTGCAAACTTTAGACTCAAGAACCTGATGATTATTTCCCAAAAGGAAGATTCCCTAAAAAACTTATTCAAAATTTTATGCATAATGTGTGTTATTTTTCCTTTGGAGAGTTCATATTTTCATAATTCAGATAGCTTGAAAAGAAAGTCCCAATGTATGAGAGCAGAAAGACAAACAGAAACCTTAGCTACATCAGTAGTCAAAAACAAACTTCTATAAATAAATAATGCTTTTTCACAGATAATCTGGTTCGCCACTCACCTCTTCATTTTTCACTGCTACACACTCAGAATTATTCACATGTAAATACATAAAAAATACATGAGAAAACTGATTCTCAAATTAAAGAACTAAGGTATTTCACAATTCCTGTGTAAAGTCCTAAGTATTTTCATATTACTCTGCTTGTTCCTATGGAACTCTTTAGGGAAAATTCACATGAAACTAGAGTATTTCATACTTCACACTCACAGTTTTCTCTAAAAAAAGAAAAAAGTGTAATTTAAACCCACTAAAAACATACGCAAATGCTTTTTAGTCACACTGAGTAGTATTTTCCCTATTCTAACCAGAAGAGATTTTGAAACAAGGACCTCACTCAGTTTTGCAGGAAAACACCATAGTATAAAATCTTCTGGAGGAAATACAAATAAAACCTGCTCTCTCTCTCACAAAAATCACTGTCCTAAGAAGGATATTCAACAGAAACACGAGGAACTGTTTTCCATGTATGACTGTGTCTAAACAATCTTACCTATTCTTGCTTTTGCAAATATTTATAAGAAGGTAACACCTCAGAAAAGTCCCCACAATTATCCTTAAAGCAATACATTAAAAACTATAAAAATTGAAAAAATAATCACTATCAGTGTTAGCAGTAGTCATTTTGTAGTAGAATTAATGTTTCTGTTTATAACCACTTTAACGACAATAAAAATGCATCCTTTTCTGAACAAAATAACTAGTAAAATTAACCGGTACAGGTCCTTAAAAGATATTTTAGAAGTTAGAGTTAATAGACATATGAAAGTACAAGAAATAGAATATACTGGGTAATATGACAGATGAAATGAATACTGTATTCAAAAATAAAATAGCATATCAGCAGTCTTGTCATTAGTGTTCACCAACATCAACATACTCCCTATTTCTCTCTTTCTTAAACTATGGTTGATTAAACTCCTTATTTTCTTAGTGGTAACATTCATTTATAGCACAGGACCCTAAACAATGGGTTCCCAGATTAAACAAGATCATAGGAGTGATGCTGATGCAAAGCTCCATTATCCAAGGCTGACTATCATCCTTCACCTGAGCTTAGAACACAAGATGTTCCTGATAAAAAATTATGTGTCTGTTGGTCTCTTCATATCACTGTAACACCCATTAATAGTAACTATTTACATGACTTGTTTGGTACATTTTATTTTAGAAGATTTATTAAACACTCTGCCTTGTCTGTCCTCTATGAAATACTCCCTGTGTTTCTGCCAGAGTCTAAATATAGATGAAGGATTAGTCATAAACATTTTCTCCCTCTTTAAGCTCTTTCCAACATCTGTGCAAAATCCCTTACTGTGAGCCCTGCTTAAGCCCCTGCAGATTTTTTTGAAAAATATTAGAAAAGAATACAATTTTCAACTGAAAACTGTAGAATTCAATTCCATAAAACATGGGAACAAAAAATCTTAAGTGAAATACATTTAATTTCAAATTAGGGAAACTAACGGGTCCTTGGCAGAGTACAGTCTCTTAAAGTGCCACTGTAAAATTTTGCTTTGTCTGACAGGATCTTTTCAAATACACTCAGCTTTTTTTTCAGATATTCTAATAATCACCTAACACTTTACTAGTCTCCTTGCTGTCCCTGGTTTTGCATTGTGCACCTTCTTTCACTGGATCCAGCTTTTGGAATGGCCTTTCTGCTCAGAGTGTAAATAATACACATTCCTTTAATCCTCATATCTCAGTCAATAATTCCAGGAGTAATTTTCATTTAGAGGTTACGGTAATTTTTTTTCTTACTGGAGAAAAAAGAAAAGGAGGAGAAAATTTCCCTGCAATTGCACTAAATATTAAAACCATAGTATTGCCCAGTGTACCCTATCAATTATTTCATCTTCGCATTTTTTATTTGTTATTAGTGCCAAATGCACTGAAATGCCTAGGTCAAATTAGTTCCATACATTTTCATATAAATACATATCACCTCAAACAGAGAAGTCTTCTCTTTTGCTGAATTTTTAAATAATAAAAAGTACTTTTTTCTCCCTACTTTAGTTTCAGAGCTAGTAATGATATACTGAATTTTCTATCCCAATTCAACAATTCAAGTTCTGTCACTGACTCTTGGTCTTTATGTTCCAAAAATTCCTAAAATGTCAAAAAATTTCAATAAAACCTTAGAAGTGGACTGCAAAAAATGCTAAAACATCTTAATTCTGGAAGATTTTTTGCCATCCCTGAACAAAATAATGTTGCAGTAGCAGGCTAAAAGCATACAATACTGTGTAAGCCTTTAAAGTTCTAAGGCCACAGTATGTAATTGAAATCATTGATTGAATTTAGGGAAGTAAATTTCATTTAAATAATACTAGATATGTTGAAACTACTAGTTTAACGGCTCTAACTTGTACAAATTTTTTTTTTTATTCTCCATTAATCACAAGGGCTCAGCATGCTTTAGCTTTTCAGGAAGCAAAATAATTCAGAACCAGAAGCTCTCAATTTAAGAGTATTCTGGTACTGTAAATAGAAAATGTGTGTGCAGCATGTGAACTGCAGTTATGATGGTACCTTCAGAATACACTGAAAATTTCTCATAGAAGGTAGCAGTAATAAACAAATTTTCTAGCTTGCTGCTTTCTAAAAGCTAAACTAATCCAAGAGATTAAAAGAAACCCCAAGCACTTATACAATCAAATTTATGTCAGTTGACTCTTCTAAAACAAATTGCATTCTGTTAATTTGTTTTAATTTGACACATCCATTAAAAAAAATAAATGTTTTGTGAACATTGCTGACATTCCAAATTATTCAGGTCATTTCAGGTTAATAAGTAAGACAACAAAGAGAGCAGACATGACTTTCTGTTGCAATACCAAGAACAGCGAGAGACATAAAAAACTGTTTTGAGGCAGTGACAATTTTTCAGTTAAATAAATGATGTTAGTATGAACTGCTAAGGATGAATTACCTGACTAAACTGAAACACTCATATAAGAAAGTTTTGCTTTACAGGCTTTCACTAATCAACATTTGAGGTTTATAGATATTTTGGATGTTGTATAAATAATCACAGAGATAATGATATCTAATATAAGAGTAAATTCTGCCCCAGAGAAAGGCTATTTCAATGAACAGGTCAATCTTAAATAAACCAGCTCTGAGTACCTTGAAAGTGATTAATGCACATTTATGGATCTGGAATTTCACCAAATCCCCCAATACTGAAGGGGCTATTAGCTTTTATCCAAAATCTTTGAGTTTATGGAGCTTCTCTAATGACTGCCATTTCTTATGGCAGGGTTGTTCTGCATGGTAAATCTTATTCTCCATTCCCATACTGAGAATTCTGAGCTATGGGACCTCACCTTACATTCTTTGATGTCTTTGTTTGACCAGAATTGGCTTCCTTCCAGTAACTAAAGACAGATAGTGTGAGAATTTTACAGCACAGACAATAGTCTCAAGGTTGATTTAGGTTTGAAGAAACAGCTGTTCACTGTGAACATCTACAAATTTCAGTACCTATTTTCCTATTGCTACAAATTATCACAGCAAGGAATGGATTTACCTGCATATAAAGCCCTCACAGATCTATAGCAACCGCTGCAGAGAGGGGAAGTTTTCAAAATGGAATTGATTTTACAGTAATTATTGGAAGCTGTGGTCAATACTTCCCCTGCAGCCTTTTAGAGAATGATGAAAAACAATGTGTCTTCAACTGCAAGGCATGGGAAGGTTTCTCCTCATTTCCTTCAAAATGATCTTTTGTCCAAAACTGTGCTTTTCCTGCACAACATTGATGTATTAATAGGCCAAAGAACCAGTAAGCCAGAAGGTTAATTGAAAAATTTTAATTATTATATGGAGGAAATACTAAGGACAATGAACACAATATAAAGATAGCTCAGTGTAAATTTAATGGTTTTGATGTGAAAAAAGATGCTCAGTTCAAAAAAACTGGAAGAGGCACAATGAGAATTTCTCAAAATACTTTTTAACTGTATACTCTTGAATGAATTTTGATTTCAGGTTTCTCAAGACAGCAGAACACAGACTGATTATATGAAAAGAAGCAATGTTTAATCAGTACACAGTGATGTAAATCATTCAGCTTTTAATTTATCAACACATAACCTTGCTCGGTATTTCAAACATAACAATGCATCAATTAAAATGATGACATAGCAAAAGATGCTGTCACTGACAAATCATTCATCAGCAGAAAAAGGCTTAAAGAATAGATAACAAGTGCAGGGGTTTTTCCAGAAAAGAAAAGCATATGTTACTAGGGTCCCAAATCAAACCCATTTACATTCTGTCGCCAATTAACTAAATCAGCATCCAAGAAAAAATCTTACCTTGTTTTAAGTATATTCAGAAACTGCAAGATTTCTGAAAACTGTATCAGTCGAAGGGCTCTTAAAAATCTTAAACCTGCAGTAAAAGAAAAAAAAGTTATAGTAAAGAATAACTCAAGTTGTAACAGCATATTACAATGACAGTGATCAATTAAATCAACACAGGTAACATACAAAATGTCAAATACCTTTGAAACGCTCTTCCATATTTAATTGTTCAAGGATTCTTAACAGGTACTTATCAATTTTTTTTTAAGTTTATTTCCCTAATAATAGGTTTATCCTACCAGAAAGTGTTAATTTTTGTAGGAAGTAATGGAAGGAGACACACAGGCTGAAAGCTGAGGGGGAAAAACCTCACTGAGGTTTCTGTTGGCAGCTGCAGTGCACATGTCCTTCTCTTTCAGGCTGTCAAAGACACAGGCAGGTCTGATTCTGCTTAGTGAAAAATAACAGATCATGGGCAAGAGATCTGATAACCTGGATAAAGTAGACTGTATATGCCTGATTAAATTTGGTAAATCTTAATGACGTAAAATCTTTTATATTAATAATGCTCCCTACCTCCACTCTCGTTTCAAAAACCTCATGCAGGAAAACAGAGAAATCACACTTTTTCTCTTGAAAATGGCAAATTTACTACAATTCTTTCCATCAGTCTATAACCACAGGAATACATTACATATCACTATTTTTTAAAAAGCATTTTTACAAAGAAATAGCATTTTTATCTTGAAATCAGATTGCATGCATAGCAATTCCCAGACAACTAAAAAGTCAGTAAGACAGAGTGTGTGTGCAAGAGAAACTAATCGAGAAGATTAAGGGCTTAAATTATCAAAATAGTCTTATGCTGATAGTAAATGATTTGGCTGCAGATCTTTGGCATATGAATGAAAGTACACTCTGTACTGTACACATGCACAGCTTAGAAAATTAAAGTAAAGCATGAAGGATAATTTTTATTAGAGAGTACAGCCAAGAGTTACATAAAAGTTGTGTAATGTGATATTGCAACTGTTACAGGAAGGTCCAGAGCAGCTTCTTCTCATAGATTCTCTTTATTGACATCTACGTTACCCAACTCCAGTGCAGGAAATCACTTTTTATTTCTAGAAACTTAAGGAAATACTGATCCTGGCGAACATATGAACCTGGTCACAGCTTTCATCATCTCATAAGAGGTTCCCCTCAAGCACAAAGGTGCATGTGGCAAGATGTGTTTATATCAAGAAGTTTTTCCTGCAGTATTATTGGAAAGTTGTTAAATAAAATATTTGCTCTTATATTTTGCCTTGTTAAGACTCCTAAGTAGTGTTAAAGTACACTCATGTCTATTATATGGATATAAAGTTTCTTTTTAATTACTGACTGTGGCAACTCTGAAAATTAAGCACAGCTTGCTAAATGGATTCAGGTACCTAAATGAAAAGCAATAAAATGAAGCTTAATAATGTTAAATGTCAGATCTATTTGCAATTAGAGAATGATAACTTTGGATCACATTGCTGAAACTGTGAGAGACACATCCCTCTGCTCCACTTCCAGGAGTTCCCACAGTTGTTACTCCTATCCAAAGGATGTGGTTAGACAGAGAAGGGGAGGATCCTTACTAGTAACCATAAACCTTCCAGCTCTTTTTCATCCAGCTGCTTTCCTCACTCTGCTCCCTATAAACTTTTATGAAAAATGGCTGGAGTGAAAAACACCCTGCCTCTGAAATGTTTATCACTGCATCTGAAGATAATGGTAAGACCAAGTTAACCATTGCTATGTTTCACAAAGAAACCTGAGAAACATCTAAGTTAGAAATAAAAGCTCTATCTCCAAATCCTTGTAAGGCTTAAGTTATATTTTAATAGTTGAGTCATCATGTGATAGATGAAAAATACTATGGGCTCAAGGTGTTTTTTGTGGAAAAAGAAAATTATTATAGGTGAAGTCCTGCATTTGCTGCAGCCCACACAATTATTAAAAATTTCCTTTAGAGAACAGAATTAGGAAAAGCAAGAACAAATCACTAGAGTGTTTGCTTGGACATTTAAACTACAAAATATGGCTGGCTTTCAATTATGAAAGCCAAAGCAATTATTACATGGCAAATTAATTCTTTCCAGCATCCTGAAATTTCCTAGGCACGAACAGATTTCCTATTATATTCCTACATGTATTTCATTTTATGTGATTTTCACAGAATCATACAATAGTTTGGATAGGGACAAATTTTCAAGGTCATCTTGCCCAACCATCCCTGCAGTGAGGACCTAGATCAGGTTTTGCAGAGCCCTGTCTGGTTTGACCTTGAATTTTTCCTGGGTTGGGGCATCTACCACCTCTCTGGGCAACCTGTTCCACTGTTTCACCATGCTCATGGTAAAAAAAATTCCTTATCTGTATTCTGAACAGCCCTCTGTTATATTGAAACCATTGCCCTTTCTTCTATTGCAGCAGGTTCTGTTAAAAATTCTGCTCCCTTCAGGTATGGAAAGGCCACAATAAGCTCTCCCCAAATCCCTCTTTCCTCCGGGCTGAACAACTCCAACTCTCAGCCCTTCCTCACAAGAGGTCTTGCATCCCCTTTTTTTCGCTTGCACCCCCTTTTTGTGCCCCAGAGCTGGACACAGAGCTGCAGATGGGGATTCCAAGAATGGAGAATGGGGTAGAATTTGCCCCCTTGCCCTGCTGCCCATGCTGCTTTGGATGCAGCCCAGCACACAATTGGCTTTCTGGGCTGCAAACTCCCATTGCTGGCTCATGTCCAGCTCCTCATCTCTAGGTACCCCCAGCCCTCTGCAGGGGCTGCCTCCAACCCTTTCCTCACCCAGCCTGTGTTGGCACTGGGGGTGGCCCCAAGGCAGGTGCAGGACCCTGTACTTGGCCTTGCTGAGCCTGAGGAAATTCCCACAGACACACTGCTCACACTTGGCCTGGTCCTGGATGGCATCCCGTCCCCTCAGGCACCCCAAGTGCACCACTCAGCTTGGTGCTTCCTGCACACCTGCTGAGGGGGCACTCACACCCACTGCCTCACAACTGAGACCATGCCACCTCTTTCAGGGCTACCCCCTTACCGAGAGCAGAAACAGTCGATATTTGTTTATGCGTCAAAAATAGAAAGTAAAATTCACTCATAGGAGCAGTAACAAAAATTTCCCCTTCCCCGAAGCTGTTTCAGCTACAACAAATGCATACAGCTCTCTTTCCTAAGCAAAGTTTGTGTTTTGTACAATTCGAGAAGAATTTCTTTTCTTATGAAATACCTACAAAACTGTTTTACATTTAAATTATTTCACCAAGAGTTGAGATATGGTAAGTTTCTTATGAATTACAGTGAATTCCATTCTAATTTTGCACATTCCATAACCCTGTCTGCTAAAGTTAATTGTAAACTGCTAAACAGAATGCTCAGGAAATGCTTGCTACATTCTCTCCATCATGTAACTTAACTTTTTCTTGGCAAGGAGTTATACATTTGAATTTTCTTATGGGATCTGATCAGAATAGGATTTAATCTGCTATGCTACAAATTATACAAAAAAGTAAGTAGCAAAATATTTAATTTACCCCAAACATCTCTCTAATAAAAGAAAAAATACACAGATAAAATAAAAGAAGGACCTCTTGAGTTTCTCAGTCTTCTGCTTCTAAATGGATGACTAAAATATGCTTAGGATTTGGAGTTCATTTCAGCTGCAATATCCAGAACAAAGATAAGATATTCATAGATATCAAGACCAGAAAAAACTTCTATGATTATAAACAATATGAACAGACAAAAACCAATACGAGACAAAGGTTTTTAGTCAATAATTTTTGCCTCTAGTACAATAATCTGAGTTGTAGGTATAATGATTCAAATAAGCCTTCAATGAACACTTCAACTCTTCCACAGGATTATTTTTACTGCAAAAATATTTGTTTAGCTACTGTGTTGCCTGTGCAGCAAACAGACTGTTTTCAAATTACACTGATAATATAAAATATGTGAAAATATATGAAATATAAAATATTTCATATCATGGTATTCAACCTAAAATCTGTAAAAAATGGTCACTAGGAGTGGCTGCATATTGCCAAAAACCCCTGAAATCAGTTTTAAAGAAATCAATTATCTGTTCAATAGGAAGAATATGCTGTGCTGAACTACCAGGCTACATCTAGAATATAGCAGGAGTACTTTTTTCCTGACCCTTTACTAAGGACTCAGCAAAATGGATGGATTCTTTAGAACAGAGTAGTGATCCTGACACGGCCAATAGAATATGTGCCAGTAGCAACACAATTACAGTAGAAAATTATTTTATCTATAAAGCTTACAGCAAGGAGTATTATTTACAGCTTTATTTGACCCTAAAAGCAATAGGGTATTTTCCTGCCTGTCAGACAGTTTTGCAATCTCTCTGCTGAACTAATGCTTTCCACTGGACTAATATACAGAAGCAACCAGGATTAGCTATAGGTTGCAAACCCCAATCCACCCCCCTCCCCCCCACCAAAAAAAAAAAAAAAGGAAATTTCCCATTATAAATCTTTAAACGGAAAAACAAGGAAATCATGACAACTATACTTATATGATTTAAATGAGATTCTAATAAATAGAAAGAGGAATTGGGATGTTTCTTCGTTCGACATGAGAGGTCAATCGACGAGAACAGCACCAAGCATTACATTGTTTCTCACCAATGAAATATGTAATCCCCATCGTACTGTCTTAGGCTGCTTATTTGTTTTCTGAGAGACAAGAGTATGTCCAAAATATTGGTGTAAGGTTTCAACACACAGAGATTCTGTTTGCCACTTCTATTCCTGACAAACCATTCACCCATTCATCAGAACAACATCTTCATCAAAGCTATCAATGGCTACTTCCACCCTAAATTTCATTAAGACCACACAGTTTACTGAAGTCAGAAAAAAAACCAGAATCCATATTTAGGAACCTTTTTTGAGACACAGGATGTAGGGATAATTTTTAGGATGCAAAATAATCCCATTTTGAACATCTTCATAGAGTACAGCAGAATTTTCTGAGATCTTACTCCCTGTAGATAGACTTGAAAATGAAAGCTCAAACTG